TGAGTGGCTTAATGGTCTACGAGCTAGATCGCCACCCTTTTAACTAGAAGGTCCTGGATTCGAGCCCCACAGCGTGGGTGCGTACTTCTGAAGAGTCACAAACCAGGACGAAACGGCTATCCAGTATTCCCAGTTGGTTTTTCAGTGTCTCTGTAACCGATGTCAGCTCATAATGAAATCTTGTAACAAATAATACTACTTCACACTGTGTAATACATGTCCAATAAGTGAATTAATTTGAAATATTGATGGGAATAAGACGAATAGCAAGTGAAATTAACTTCCTACTGATTTAAGCAGATTATTTTATTTTCCTTTGTATAGATTCCTATTGGAGTAAAATGTTCAAGTCTCTAATGGATATGTTAGTATCGCTGTAGCATCCATACTAGAAGCCGACTACATGTCAATGTACAGTGAGCATTGCGGTCCAATGGGATATACATATTACAGGTTTACTCACAAGCTGACATCTTTTAAAGAGTCAATACTGCATAGCTGTCTCGTACTGGTTTGAATGAGACTCTTCATCAGTACGAACCCATAACCTTCCGGTTACAAGTTGAGCTGATTAACCATTCAGACACTGGAAGCAGATTCAGTGGTTCGGTAACCGATCAAAGTCGTACAAAGCAAAACCTGATAGATACAGATTAGCCTTAGAAAATAACAACTGGCACCCTTCTCCATATGCGTTGACTCATATAGCCCAGTGGCTTATTGAATAATGACACTTTGAGGATTTGAAATGATGACTGCTAGACTAGAATCTCAGTGTGAACATTACCACTCACTCAGTGTGTCTGTGTGGGGGGGGGGCAGTACAGGTACGTCCAACTGACGAGTCCCAAATAGAATGAATGAAATATACCTCTTGGGGACTATTGTTCATCAATATCAACCAAAGAAAAAACTGAGTCCCTTTTGTGTTTTTAGGATCACTTAGTAAAATCGACTGAATCATTGAGGTTGGTGATCAACCTGGCCAGCCTGGCTAGCTAAGTTTAGTACTGTCCTATTTTCAACTCTCTGCTTTTTGATTCAGTTCAGTTTAAGTTGAGACAAAAGAGTATAACAGGTTGCATAACATCAACTCACATTTATCGAAATATCTATGGTTGACATAGGTAAAAAACAAACAACTTAACGTCAAAGAATTTACAGGTTTAATTGATATAAGTATAAAACTTGGGCACTGTGGTGGTAAAGTATAACTCCATTATGGATAAGATATTATTTTATTTATTGATTTTTATTCAAATGTCTAATCATCAATTTCACTCATGTACATAAATGAGGCAAGAAAGTTGTGTGAGTATTGCTTTGATATGATTATGAGCAGTAGTAATAAATTGTGCTCGAAACGTGGTCATAAGTTAATATTACTGTATAACACCACGTAATTTACAGGTTTATCCAGGAACTGACATAACTTAGAGAGTCATTGAAAAACCAGCTACGGGCACTGGACAGCTGTTTCGCGCTAATCTGAGACTCTTCATCTGTGCTCACCCACATCGCGGGGTTAGAACCCAGAACCTTCTGGTTACAAGACTAGCGGGATCATAGACGGTTAAGCCACTGGGACCAGTTCATGAATTTTAACTTCTGCCAGTTTTCTGGTTAATATCAGGTTCTGTTTTCTCTGGATTACAGAAACCATAATCTTATAGATTATATTATGTTATGATTATCATAGAGGGAGAATCATTTCCTCTTGTAAACCTGTAAGTTGAGCAATTTACACCAATTTCATAGAACTATCTGGCATTGTCATACACAAGATAATATGTTGTTTGATCCAATCAATAATTCATTATCACTACCCTTAGACACCGAATAGATCCCGCTTACTTTGTCTCAATTTTAGGTGATAGACAGTTTTCGTAATCTCAGCTACAATTAGTGTATAAATATGTACATCCCATTCAGAGTGGAAGTGTATAATGAACAAGTGGAGTGCACACCTAGTGATCTAATATCGTGCTACAATCTGACTAAAGTTCATGCCTTAGTCATTAAATTATTTGACCCATTTATGTTGGGCTTTTACTCCATTCAACATTGTTTGCACAATAGTGTGTCGTAAACTGCTGTTAAGTAGTGAATATACAACGCTGATTCACAACAGAAAACTCCCTGAGGCCTTTGAATTGAAGACTGGAGTAAGATAAGGATGCCTATTACCAATGATGATGATGATGATGATATTCCTGACTGTGGAGAAGTGGATTACTCGGTAAACGTGTCCAGCTACAAACCTGGAATAATTTAGACTGATAAGAGGATCCTAGAAGATTTGGAATTCATCACAGATGACCTATGTCAAATGTCATACAGGATAGAAGATCTACAGGCACAAAAACAACAAATTGATACAAGAAGTAGTGAAGACAGGACTTCAAGCACACATACAGAAGACAGAGGTGATGAAAGTAACGAACCAATCAACAACAACAACAGGCACCAATCACTACCAACACAATAAATTCAAAAGAGATCACTTCCTTCACTTATCTAGGAACCATCGTTTCAATTACAGGCGGTGGCACATATGCGAAGGTCGAACGTAGGATCGGAAAGGCTGGGCAGACCCTCATCAGTATGAAATCAGTTTGGAAATCTTCTGCACTCAGTATAAGAAAAAACATTCGAATTTTTCGCGCAATTTTATGTCATTTGTTGTGTGGTGGTGTGATACGGACAATGTGTTCCAACGGAATATTATTGTCACATATTCCCATAGTTCAATGCTGCATTAACAACAGGATGCTATATGTATATTGGAGCATTCTGTTTCATGTCGTTTAAAGTAAACCAAAATCACACGCTCAGTGATTGGTTAAAGAATATAAAACTGTATAAATGAAAAAAGCGGTTTGATCGCTTGATGAAAATATACCCTGGCTTCCGTGTTATACCTTCTGCTGTTACACTTTTATATGATTCGGAATCAGCAAATTCATTTACAACTTACTTAGTTCTAGGAGATGTAATTTCACTATAGTTTCCTTTTAGAAATCGAAATTATTCAGTTCACAATGCATGTGATCTGCTCGAAACCATAAATGGTAATCAATATATATACGTATATTGATTATTCATCATTCTTTTTGAATTATAATATAGATGTATGGATAAATGTGACCCTTATTGTTACTGATATATCGAGTAGGGAGTAGTCTTGTTCTTAAGTAAAAGTCTCATTGATTTTGGGGTAGAGTTTACAAATAACCTTTCATTACATCATCTTTCTAGGTAATCAGTCTTAACTGTTGATGGCTACTAGTTGGGTAAAATGCAAGACATGCATTTCTGTCTATTTGACCTTACATGTTGGATCTATTCACGATGGATAAATTCAGGGGATGATTTACAATCGCCATATGCATTCCATTTTATTTGTTATTTGTTGAATTGTAACAACAGAAGACAAGGGCCAGGCAACAGATCGTTTATTAAGGAAAATCAACACATATTTATAGATTTCAATGTACATTATTGTAGATTATTGTTAGTAGAAAATACAGTCTTTTGATTGGTTGTTTCTCACAGAAAGTTAACCTTGCATCTCTTTGTGGCTGTGTCAGATCATCTATATGCTAACTGTATCCGCCTACGCAAAGCCTTTGTTCTTGTTTTTTTCTCACCACCAATATTGGGGACATAAACATTGACGTCAATTACTGTCTACCAACTTTGGCTAGCAGCCAGCTCTCACCACAGAATATTTAATCTAGTGAATGGAATTAATTTCATTGCTTGCTATTGACTTGCTACAGGACAGAGTTCCCTGAAGTTCTAATGAGAAGTCGTGACCAAAGAGGTTCATCCAGTCAAGTGTGAGGATAGATTTCCCACCGATGACATTGGTTGGTGAGAGTCGCGCTAAATCACGAATTGTTAGAAGTTAGAATTCATGCAGTGGCCACTGAATCGGGTTCCAGTGGCTGCTTAATGGTCTACGTGCTAGCTCGCCTTGTAACTGGAATGTCCTGGGTTCGAACCCTAGTGGTGGGTGAGTACTGCCGATAATTCCCAAACTAGGCTGATGAAACAGCTGGCTGTCCAGTACTCCCAGCTGGTTTTCAACGGTTCTCTAACTGATGATATCAATCCTTGGTCCAACTCGAGAAAAACAAAGCAAATCTAATCCTTACAAACCAACTACTGAAAATCATTGTAATTTGTTATAACTTAAAGATATGAAGTCTACTGCCAGTATCTTGTTATTCACAGGATGATGAGTGCAACGTGTCTAGTCCTCTCTTTGGTGCAGACTGAATTCTATCAGTCAGTCAGGTTTGCAATGTGGCCACCATCCCACTAGGTAGCTCGCCATCACGATGCACATTGATTTCATGATATCAGATAGTTGGAGGCAATCGGCCACAGGAAACCTTCGACACCACCTAGGTTTCGTGTTAGTTGTCACTCACCAGCCAGTCAGTAAGGCGTATCTGCAACCTAGAAGGAACTCATGTCCCCCGTCTGAGATTCGAACCCGCGTCACCCAGTGCTTCCTGCAGTCAGAGACGTTACCACTGAGCCAGCTATTTGGGCTCGCGATTGACCTCCTGTAGGACTGTAGTGGGTATTTTGATTGGACGTGTCTAGTCCTCCGTTTGATGAGTTTGTGATATGTTTCATGTATGATGACAAACTGACTTCATTTGATAACCAGCAGAGAGTTCTAGACACTTCTTTCGTCTTAGTTTGGGGCTCTTCAGCAGCAAATGCTCACGATCTTACTCATCAGGGATAGAATCCAAGACTCTGAGGTCACAAGGCTATTGACTATCATCGGCAATTGTCTTTCCTTACGCTCAACCAGCTTGCTTCGCAATCTGAGAGTCTTTGGTTCGACTCCTAGTAGGTGACGTTATGGGTATGTACTACTGATGAGTCCCAAACTAGGCTGACGAAACATTTGTTCAGTACTTCGCATTTATTTTCAGTGATTCTCTAACTGATATCAACTTATGTAATTTATTCTATAGGTTACATATTATGATCCATACGAATTATGGCCTAGTGGACATTGTCGTCGTGTCTACGCTCAGTCATGTGAACGTGCACGTCGACATCAAAGTGGTTGGGCAATGCGAAATACAAATAATCATAATCCACAAGTGCTCAAGAAATCTTGTCTTGGTGTATTAGAATGTTCAATGGGATGTTTAGTACAAGGGAAACCGTTGAGCCTTCGTCCAGCGATATGTGATAAGGCAAGGAAAAAACAATGCAGTGAGTGCCTCCTCGCTTTCTTTCTAATTTTGTCATTATTTATTGATTTTTTAAAAATAATTATCATTATTAGTATTATGAATTTCCCCTGCGAGTAGTTTTATTGGATAGGAATGCTCCACCCTTGTTGATATATACAAGTTCCTAGTATGGTCTCCTCGACGATACTTTGAGGCTGATATGATGATGGTTAACGGTGGGATGCATGGCACTCTTTTCATCCTCTTGAAGACCTGTTAAATAAAAGCGGTGACTATTGAAACCCAGCTGCTTAGTGGATCCACTCATCAAAGATATTGGATGAAAGCTATGATACATTACTGTAAGTAAGATGCGCTATTGACTAACAGCTGATTCACACTGACATCGTAAACTGACGGTCTCGAGCTGCTTTGTGGTTTCTGGCTACTGATATCAATCAAACTACCAATCGATAGTATATTCCAGAACATTAAAACTTTGGAAACAGATGGATCCAATATGGCGAAATTAAGCACTATTCATTGGAACTACTTATTATCAAATCATTGAAGAGTCAAATAGGAGTACTAGACAGCCGTTTTTAACCTAGTTCGAGACTTTTCATCAGCACGCACTCCACCACCTGAAGAATTTCATGTTAGGACGAAATCAGGCACTCACTGTTTCTTTTCTTTTCAATGAACTGCTAACTAGCTTGCTATATATTACACTTTCATAATGAAAACTGTAGTTGAAGTTAGCACTGAATATGTTGTCTAGAAGGATAATGAAACTTTCAGTTATAAATTAGGCCCCTATAAACAACCTAGTAAGGCCGAGAGTGTGTGTGTGTGTAGATTTCCGTCTTCCGCTTGAAATGCTATAATTTACCCATGCGTTCATAGAGTCTTCTGCCAAGTAAGTCCTCTCCAATGCTTTCAAATGACAAGAGGGGGTGTTCCTCACAAAAGTGAAACAGTTAACGTTAACGGCTAGCGCTTACGACTGGACTGGTGAAAATGAAGGTAGATCTACCTAAGGGAGCAAGAGAACCCTGATTCCACCAAACCTGTGGTGTATATAAGCTCAAGAATCTGAAGGGGATTGAATGGGTTAAATGAATCCGAAACCATTGGAAAGTAGCTCCTGATGTTGCCCTATTGCCTTGTGTCCGGATCAGACTGCAGGTCAAACGCCTAAAGATGAAGGTGGTCCCTTAAGATAACCACACACTTCTGTCTGTGTGTGTCTGGTGGTTGGTACTCCAGCCATGGCAAAGAAACTATACCACTTTGTATGGCGTATCTTCTGGAGCGCATTATTTTACCAGGTATGTGTTTTAAAATATAAATAGCTTAAATATTTTCAAAAGTTAGTCTTTAGGAATTTCGTTTGTTTCAAATCTGATCATGAGTTGATACTGATTAGTAAAAAGCCAATGGGAAACCAGCACGCAGTGCTGGACAACTGTTTCGTCCTAGTTTCGGACCCATCATCAGTTTGCACACTCCAAGATTTGAACCACTGGATTCCATCCCAGTGACTGAAGCCCGTCAGATGCATGGTGTGAAGAGTCCCAAACTGGGACGAAACAGCCATTCAATTCCCGCCCCCCCTCTCACTGATCTCGTCCCTTGAGATCGAACTTGAGAGAGTACAACAGCATTGAAAACACAACCAGCTACACAAATCTTTTCCACTCTTTCTCAATCAATTAATTAATCAGTATATACAGGGAATAAAATAAAAATTAAAAACAACTGTAAATAATTTATATATATTTATATAACCGTAAAATTGGAGAGAGAAAAAAGTAATGCAAAAGAATAAGTGAATAACATTTACGCAAAATTCACGCAAATTCGACATTAAAAATATTTTGTGTAATTATGCGTAAAAATATAATATAGTATACGTGTATGTCTGTATGTGTGTTTGCGTGGGTGTATGCACATAAACATATGTGGGAGGAAGAAGGGGGGAAATATCTAGTCAACACATCACCTTAATTCTTCTGTCCACCTCCTTCCCCTTTTCTGACTTTAATATTAAATTAGGGGGTGGGGTGAGAGGTAAGCCAAACAATTAATCGAGGTATATTGACTATGGGGTGGTCGGGGTACATGGCTGGGGTGAGGTGAAGTGAAGTGGGCAGGGGGCAGTGGGTGGGTAAAAGAAGGATAACACATAGAATAAATAAATGGCTAATTACACACTCTCTGTGTATGTTTGAACTAGGGGAAAAGCACGTTCAGAGATCGACCGACGTCAAGTCCTTACTACTACTATTACGACTATTATGGTAATACAGTTGAGGCCTCGTGTGAAATAAAAAATAATGGCAATAATGTCAATTAAATTCAGGTTATTTTATGGGAAATTTTTGGGATTATTCTTTTTGTGTTTGTTTTTTGCTGTTGTTCTTGTTGATCGAATTTAAGACAAACGCGTAAATCAGTTTTATGATCATAATTATTATTATTATTAATTTTTATAATTACTCAATAATTTTCGTTTGAAATCATAATTTGAGTACAACTTATGTTTATATATATATATATATATATATATATATATATATATATATATATATAAGATTGGTTACTGAACAAAGAATATTCCTTTTTACGAGTTGATCATGGATTGATATCAGTTGGAGAACCATTGAAAACCAGGATGGGGCACTGGACAGCTGCTGTTTCATCCTAGTTTGGGAATCATCGCCAGTACGCACCCACTGGGATTCGAACCCAAGACCTTCCGGTTACAAGGCAAGCTTGCTCGTATACCATTCAGCCACTGGGACCCGATTCAATGGCCACTGCATGAATTCTAACTTCTACCAATTGGTGATTTAGCGCGACCCCAACCAATGTCGATGGTGGGACATCCATCCTCACACGTGATATCTATTTGAATCTCACTGGTCCCGACTTCTCACTAGAACTCCAGGAAACTCCATCCTGTAGCAAGTCACTAGCGAGCATCAGATTAATTTTCTATAGTTTGGTTTGTAAGGGTTAGTTATGCTTTTACGAGTTGATCACGGATTGATATCAACTAGAGAACCGTTGGCTCTAAATCACGAATTGGTAGAAGTTAGAATTCATGGTTTGGCCGTTGAATTGGGTCCCAGTGGCTGAATGGTATACGAGCTAGCTCGCCTTGTAACCGGAAGGTCCTGGGTTCGAACCCCGTAGTGTAGGTGCGTACTGCCGATGATTCCCAAAACTAGGATGAAACAGTAGCTGTCCAGTGCCCCATTCTGGTTTTCAATGGTTCTCTAACTGATATCAATCCCTGGTCAACTCGTAAAAATATAACTAACCTTTACAAATCAAACTATAGAAAAGAATATTCGTTTCGATAACCTGATCTTCTTCATTTAGGTTCTACAGTCATACATCCATAATAATAATAATAATAATAATAATAATGAAAGAATGATTGTTATTCACACTGACAACATTAATGGTCTGAAAAGAATGGATACTGAACAAAGAGTATTCTTTTCGATAACGCCTTCATCATCAGGCTCTACAGTTATATATACATTATAGTGAATGAATGAATTAGTGTTATGAACAACATTATTATTATTGTTTCCTTTAATTCCTAGAGGAACACAAGGCTTCAGCCGTGCGTCTCCATTGCCTTCGGTTCTCTGCTAGAGTCTTCACCTGGCTCCAAGTCTGCCCACACGTCTTCATCTCCTCTTCACATGACCTCCTCCAAGTCACCCTTGCACTGACGACCAACTCACCGCTTCCCTTTCGGCTGGGTTCCACTCGAGCGATGGCTTGTCTAGTGATGTCACTTGATGATTTGTTTCCTCAGAGTATGGCCAATCCATCTCCATTTCTTCGTGCTTATTTGTTTCACAATCGGTTCCTGCTGTGTTGGTTCGCTCATTGCCAGAGATCCCAGTTGCTGATCTTTTCTGGCCAGCCATCTGATCTTGAGTATTGAGCGAAGACAAATGTTAATGAAGGTTTGTAGTTTGTTTGAGGTGCTCTTTATGACGCGCTGGCCAAGTCTCTGATCCATCCGTATAGTAGCACTGACTGACTTCACATTGGAGTTGAAAATCCGGATCTTATTTTTGATGCTGAGTGCTGTTGATCTCCACACTGACTTGAGAGTAGTGAAAGCTTGTCTTGCTTTTCCGATTCTTGCTTTGATATCCTCGTCAGTTCGGCTCGGCTGTAGTTGAAACGATGCTTCCAAGGTAGGTAGGTAAAAGAGGTTGTTTCTTTGCGGTTCCTCCCATTTATGCTGATCGTTGTCTGCTGTTGCTGTCCTTGTCCAGGAATCTTCATCACCTCTCTTTTCTCTATGTTCACCTGAAGTCCATTTTATGCCTGTTTCCTTATTGCCCGCTGTTTGTCGCATTATCCAATCTACTGCAATCACGACATATGGTTTAAATAACATCAAATCAATAATAATACTATTAATGGATTACAGTTCAATAGCATCAACACAAAAATAAACTGAATGTCAGAAAAATTAGGAAAGATAATAATACAAATTCATGAATTTAAAGTCTCTACTGAAGCCGGCCAGGGCAGTAGTAGGCGCTAGCTGGACTTGCTTCTTTTGAACACAAAGCACTGATTTTTTGAGGCGAATTGCAATAGCCCCTGCTGTTTGGAGCATGCGGTGTTTCGATGATTTTGGCAGTTTATTAGGCACTCGGTAGATGATGATAGAGAAGGATTCTTCCACACTGGCTGGCTGGGTTTGTGGCCGGTTTGCACCAGATGGTCCAATATAGAACTGTTGATGTTTTTCACTACACCTTTACTTAGCCATACAGGGAGATGTTCTCGAGCACGAAAAATCAAGTTCCTAGAGCAACGGCCAATATAACTCGCTCCACCACAAGCAGCGCAGTTGAATTGGTAGATACAATTTGAAGTGGCTAGTCTAGTCTAGGTACTTCATCTTTCAGTCGAAGTAGCACCATCGGTCGTGTAGAGAATAAGACGTGTAGTTCACCAGAGCATTAAAAGTTCTTTGGACTGATTTTCTTAATTTCCTAGTAATTATCTTACTTGGTATATCGCCCTTGATTTGTAGTCGTATATAAAGTGGCTTCTTGTTCTTTGTTTGTTTAAAAAGAGTAACATTGAACCATTTAGATGAGAATTCCAAAAGTTATTTGTAAAAATAGATTGTTAATAGATTATAGTCCAAAATATATGCATGTATGTATGGTATGGAATTTTCAGCATGTAATATCGGTAGTGCAAATTTTGCAGACCGACCATTGATATCAGGTGTGTGTCGGCAGGCGGTTGAAACATGAACCAAGTGCCTGCTTGGCGAGAGTCTTAACCGCTATGCCACCGACCGGTATTCTCAAGGTCTTTCACTTGGTCCCTAATGGGTTTATGGGTGCATGCTGTTGTAGAATCTTACTCCAGGTAGAGATCAGGAATACCGACATAATTAAAATATTACATAACCAGCCGTAGACTGTTGAAAGAAGACGTCGTAGACCCAATCAAATGAGAATCACTGATCAAGGGACAGCAATGGCATGAACCCTTCATAAACCCTCTCCATAGCTTCAGGATATCATGACGACTCTCAGGAATAACCACGGTTCATGTTGGATTTCTTTATATTAACATTTAAAGCCTGAGAGTATGAGAGATATTAGCATTACACCGTAAGGATGATCGGCAGTTTTTCTGGGACATCATTAAGAAAATATCCTTAGAAAAAGCTTTTTGATGATTCTACATGATAGCGAGGAGAGCCAGATTTAGAATCGTCGTATTCTCTTCCCCCCCCCCCCTGATAGAATTTCTTCACTTTAACATTCAAGTAATGGGGAATCATTATGATGCATTTTATCACTATCAATTCTGAACTAGCTGTCACGTGCCAGTCAATAGGGTCACAGCCACCTGATGTAACGCAGAGCAAGCCCATATACGTTGCTAGTGATAAAACATGAACAGCTGAAACTACCCACCATCGATTGTGACTATAGACCGGTAACTCCATAACAGTGACAGTCGAAACACACAAGGAACCAAAATATCCAGTCCTCAACTGGAATGACTTGTATCTGATCTCGGTCTGTTTGACTCAGCCCCCAGAGCCACTTCTTCTACTGAAGTGACAGATCCAATCCGCCAAATTCTTTTACCTACAATGTTCGATTGTCAAAGACTATCCACCTTGGAGACCTGATACGGATATGAGTAAGACATGGCACGAAAATCATGCTTATTGTATCGAATTTTCCGGCCACCACAAGGAGGGTGATGCTTTAAGAAGGTTAATATTCGTTCGGTTGCTCGAAATCTTTAATCATGCTACTAATACCACCTTTGTGTATCAATCTCGAGTAATTAATTCTTAGCCAACCGCCGAAGTCCATCCGGGAAAGGAGTAAGAGCGCGCTTTCGCGAGCTGCCGCAGCGACTGATACAGTCCCAGAGCGAATTCCCCAAGACGGGTCTTCATCAATTTCTTATATTTACATCTCAGGACACCCTTGGTGCCACTTCTCCAGCTGGTATGAACAGGAACATCTTCTCAGGGACATATGCGCACTGGAGCCAACCAAACCTTGACTAATGACACAAGATCCCGACGGCCACGCCACTACCCACAGCATGAGACACTGCTCGAGACTGGCCTTGGTTAACAACCACATCAAGCTGCGCCTCGCGGTTTGGGTTACCAGCTCTAACAGCCACCCACTAACCAGTTGTTATTGGCCCCGGTCCTCTCGTCAAGAATCCTGCAGATCACCATAAAGGCCAAAGGACGACACCACTGCTTCATCAAGACTGAGTAACCAGACGTGTGTGTTGTTTCATGCAAGTGACAGGTCTTTGCTGGAGCTCAGTTTGCCTGCTGATAAGCCCCACCCAGCGGTCGCCACGCGGAGGCGCCTGTCACATATAACCATAACCCTCGTCCCGCTATTTCTCATGCCCGGTTGAGTTTCTTCACGTTGACACTCAGAGCACTGGAGGGAACTTCGTAACCAAATGTAGACTTAACAAGAGAAGCCAATATTGGAAAGCACATGATGTGGTCTAAGGCCTCGAGTAATTAATTCTTAGCAACCTTTAGTTGATCAAAGCTACGTACTCATAGATTATGTTAGCATGTTTTGAAGAAACAATATCTCTAAAAAGCCTAAAATGTACATCATATCGATCAATCGATCAACCAATTAGTCAATATATAATTCAACTAAACAACTTTTACTGTTTTCCTTTACTGTTTTTTCTTTTTTAGATCGTGAATGTATTACTCCTGGTTGTAAAGGTCGTCTTGTATTACGTAATTGTCGTGGACATAGTGGGTATCCTGTTACACATTTTTGGCGTTTTGCTAATGGTGCTGTCTACTTTGAAGCAAAAGGTGAACATGATCATAATCGTCCATCATTGAAAACTTTCGGCTTGTCTGACACAGATCATCAATACTCATCGGCGAGTGCGAACACAACCACAGCAGCAGCACCACCACCACCAACAACAACAGCAATGCCAGCAATTACTACAGATATCAGATTGACAATAGCTTCAATCAAAGATGAATTACATAATCCTACAATTGTCAACAATTATCATCAAGTCAATGAACACCAACCGAATGGTTATTATCAACAAACTTATCATTTAAATTCATTTACACTACCTCATAGTGATATTAACCAATCAGATCAAATGAAACAGTTGGCGGGAGATTTAAATTTCCCACCTGAATTAAATACACTTCAAATGAAATTACATAACAATAGTAATAACAATAAACGTTCAGTAGGTAAATCAATACGTCGTGAAAAGAAAACATCAAATGTTAACTTAAAGGTAAGTAAATTCAAAAAACAAATAGCTGACTGGCTGTTAAAGTGTTATAAGCTTGTGTTTGTTGTCGTGATGGTTTGCAAATTATAGTTGATCAGTTCTTTTTACTTTCAATTAAAGTTGATTGTTTATCAAGCGTTGATTTGCAGAGGTCTGATTGATTACGGTTTTGATTGGAAGCTAACATCAGTTAGAGGACCACTTGAGAGCCTGAGAGAGCTAGATAGTTGCTCCGATCTAGTTTGAGTCTGTTAAACGGTGCTACCAGCCGGAATTCGAACCCAGGGTCTTTTATTTGTAAGGAGAGGTTAGAGACCGTTCAGGCCCCGGGATAGAATCTAATGGCCCATGAATTCCAGTGTCTCTCAATCAGTAATATTGTAACGAAAGAAGGCAAGAGTCAGGCAACAGATCATTTATTAAGGAAATCAAAGCATATTTATATATGTTTTCATGTACATTACTATGGATATGTAAACAAACAAACAGTCTTCCGATTGGTTGTTTCTCACGACAAATCTTGGGAACGTAAATATTGACGTAAATTACTGTCTACCAATTTGGCTAGTAGACAGCTCTCACCACAATATGAAGCACAACTGCCATGTCATTGGCGAGTAACTGTACTCTCACCTGACTTCGTGGACTCAAGTTCTCATTAGAAATCATAGTAACCTCCTGTGCACAGCTATGCATCACAAATTAGAAGAAGTTGGAATTCATGAGCGATTGTTTGCGTGCTTGTTTCTTAATTATAACTTATCAAAATAGAATAATTAGTAAGCTAACTAGGAAGACACTCACATGTCATCCATATTCGCTGATGCACCAATAAAGACGTGTCGAAAACATGACTGGTTTCCAAACATCCATATGACTTAGTACCATTTCACATCATACTACATTTTTAGGATTCAGGTAACTCACTCACTCACTCACCCAGTCAGTCACTAACTAACCAACCGACTAACTAACTAACTAACTAACTAACTAACTAACTAACTAACTAACTAACTAACTAACTAACTAACTAACTAACTAACTAACTAACTAACTAACTAACTAACTAACTAACTAACTAACTAACTAACTAACTAACTAACTAACTAACTAACTAACTAACTAACTAACTAACTAACTAACTAACTAACTAACTAACTAACTAACTAACTAACTAACTAACTAACTAACTAACTAACTAACTAACTAACTAACTAACTAACTAACTAACTAACTAACTAACTAACTAACTAACTAACTAACTAACTAACTAACTAACTAACTAACTAACTAACTAACTAACTAACTAACTAACTAACTAACTAACTAACTAACTAACTAACTAACTAACTAACTAACTAACTAACTAACTAACTAACTAACTAACTAACTAACTAACTAACTAACTAACTAACTAACTAACTAACTAACTAACTAACTAACTAACTAACTAACTAACTAACTAACTAACCAACCGACTAACTAACTAACTAACTAACTAGGTGCTTTTCTAATTATATATTGGTTAGCCTTCTGAGAGCTAGTCAGCCAACAGTACTGATATATTGACTACACTAAGTAGATCTAACCGGTTTATCTCAACGTAGATTTCACCACCATCTGACATCTTTAAGGAATCATTACAAACTCTATTGCACCCTTGTGGCCCTACCGGGCACTGAAAAAGAGTTCCAGCAGGGACGAAACAGTTGTGCAGTACTCTCTGAGTTTTAGAGGTTCTCTAACTGATATCTAACTTCCAGTGGCCTGCTTGAGTCAATGAGCTACCTAAAGTCGTAACCAACACACAGTACATCAAATTCCCTCTAATTCTTATTGTGTTCTAACCATTTAAGTATGTCCTTGAATAGCGAAAATTTCAATTGCCTGACAACCTATAGGTTCACATTATTCCAATTGAAGCGGAGGGAAAATATCAAAACGGAATTATTCTATGCTTCAGATAGTACAGTACTGCATCACGTGATATACTCTGGACTGCCATTTCCTTTTCCAAGATCCTGCATGAAGAAGAAACATTAACCAATAAATTACGATGAGAATTCTTTATATTGTGTAGAGATTTTGCTTAGAATAAAGATATTATTATTATCATCACTAAAGTTGTTGTTGGACTGGACATTTGTTTCGTACTAGTCTGAGACTGTTCAACATTGCTTTTCGTTATCTAAAGGTCACAGGTTCAAGAACTGGTGACTGGTTAGCAATTAAGCACTGTTGTAAAGTTGCAAAGTAGGCCTAAACATCTAGCTGTCCAGTGATCCTTGATTTTCAGTGATTCTCTAATTGATCTACCACAGTTCATGATGTAATCGACTCTGAAATCGATGAAATCCGGACAATTCAAAAACTTGATTATGCTAGCAATTGATTTTGTCGATTTACTATTCTAAAAACTTTTATTTCCCCCCTCTTTTTGCCTACAGAAACATCGAAAATATGAAGATTTCTTGAAATTTCCATCAAATGCTGAGTCTATTTCAACAGTTGGAGACTTGAAAAATACTCGAAAAAGTAAGTAGGCTTGATTTTGTTAACAAGATTATCGAAATGATACTTTTGGATATATTTACGTTGAGTATCAGTACTATTATTATTGTTCCTTTGGGTTCCTAGTAGAATATAGGCCTTCAACAGTACCTCTCCACTTTGTTTTGTTTCCTGATGTCTTGTTTAGCCGGTTCCACGAAAGCCCATAGTCTTAATCTCCTCTTCCTGGCACGACCTCCTCCGTGCCAGCCTCGAGTCGACGCCTAACTCATCGTTTCTCATTCGGATTGTACTCAAGGGACTGTCACGTGATGTCATTCGATGGTTTCCTCAGCGTGTATTCAATCCATCTCCATTTTCTTCTGCAGATTTATAGGACAATCGGTTCTTGATCAGTTTGTTCCCACAGTTTCTCGCTGTTAATTCTTTCTCGTCGGCCGGCTTGCCATTTGATCTTCAGTATGGAACCAGCGAAGTGGGCAGCTGTTGATAAAAGTCTGCAGTTGTCTCTTGGAAGTGCTTTAACTGACGCACACGTAGTGCAGGTTTCTGACCCATATAGAAGAAGTGACTGACTGCCTGACTTGACATTTGTGTTGAATAGAATCCGAATCTTGTTGCTTATGCTGGCTGGCTGAGTGAGTGCACAAGATTTCCAGACTGATTTCAGAGTGATGAAGGCGTATCTTGTCATTCCGATTCTGACTGGCTGACTTTGACGTCTTTATCCGTTCCGCCAGTTTTGGTTGAAACCGTACTTCCTAGATGAGTGAAGGCAGGGAGTAACTAACCTCTTTCAAATTCCTCCATTTGAGTAGGGTCTTCAAAAAAAACAAATCAAAATCTGTTGAGTATTTCATGTCAGAGGAGAATTCACCCACTTTGGTAGAATATAAAATTCTGTATTGCATAAGAGGTGCTTTGGCAACTACTTCGCTACTATGGGGTGCCACCGACAATTATACATCTCACCCAACAGCTGTACGACAATGCTGCATGCCAAGTAATCCACAACGGGAAACTTACGGAATCCTTCGAAGTGAGGACAGGAGTAGGACAAGCTGGCTGCCTACTATCGCCAATGATTTTCCTGATTGCAGTAGACTGGATAATGCGACAAACAGTGGGCAATGAGGAAACAGGCATAAAATGGACTCACACAAAAAACTTGGAGGATCTGAACTTCGCCCATGATGATATATGTCTGATTTCCCACAAACTGGAAGATATGCAAGCGAAAAGCAACAAGTTGGCATAAGAAGCATCAAAGATAGGACTTCAGGTGAACAAAGAGAAAACAGAAGTAGGTGATGAAGATTCCTGGCCAACAGCAACAACAACAGACAACGATCAGCATTAATGGGAGGAACCTGAAAGAAACAACCCCTTTTACCTACCTGGGAAGCATCGTTTCAACTATATGCGGAACTGACGAGGATATCAAAGCAAGAATCGGAAAAGCAAGACAAGCTTTCACTACTCTCAAGTCTGTGTGGAGATCAGCAGCACTCAGCATCAAAAATAAGATCCGGATTTTCAACTCCAATGTGAAGTCAGTGCTACTCTAAGAAAATCAGAGATTTGGCGCGTCATAAAGAGCATCTCGAACAAACTACAGACCTTCATCAACAGTTGTCTTCGCTAAATACTCAAGATCAGATGGCCGACCAGAAAAGATCAGCAACAGGGTGGGATCTCTGGCAATGAGCGAACCAACCAACACAGCAGGAACCGATTGTGAAACAAATATGCAGGAAGAAATGGAGATGGATTGGTCATACTGTGAGGAAACCATCAAGTGACATCACTAGACAAGCCATTGCTCGAGTGGAACTCGAAAGGGAAGCGGCGAGTTGGTCGTCAGTGCAAGGGTGACTTGGAGTAGGTCATGTGAAGAGGAGATGAAAACGTGTGGGCAGACATGGAGCCAGGTGAAGACTCTAACAGAGAACCGAAGGCAATGCAGACGCACGGCTGAAGCCCTACGTTCCTCTAGGAATTAAAGGAAATAATAATAATAATATGATATAATGCACACAGTGGTTCATACAGCATTCATAACTTGATGACTTTGCCATCACACTTGATTACTGCTCATAATCATGCCATCACTGTGTTCACATGACTTCATAACCCCATGTTGTTGTCTGCTGCAATTTCCTATGTATCAGCGGGGATAAGTGTTGCGTCATTTCGATTCAATCAACAAAGATTCGGTAATTAACCTGTCTGTCTATCTATCTCTTTCTCCGCCAAAATGTATTACTTTTTAGTACTTTTAACCTCCTCCACTCACCCTGTTGTGTAATGACATGCAGGTGAATGAATTTCAGTAGCCTAGCTTTGTTCCCCTAGATTGAAGTTTCGGTAGCAGTGACGTTTGTTTTTGCAGGATGGGGTTGATAGCCTCATGCCCAATCTTCCCTTTTCCTACCAGTCTTATTACTGGCTTAGCGAGGTAAAGGAGTGCATCGGTGACCGGGGATCGAATCCCGGACCACTGGCAAGCATTGTACTGCTATGCCACCGAAGCTCACATAATGGTACACCCATTGATTGGATATTGGTTTTCAGGAGAACCCAACACACCTATCTCTGCCTCTTGCAAGACAAGACCGACATGCAGTTGCATCCTGTGGCGCAACCACTTGACAGCCCTCTCCCTCGGTGGACTAAATTGAAGATTAGAATATATATATTGAATAGTTGTAGATGACTTCGGATTTCTGAACCGACAGTTTTGTCGTTCAGTAGGCGAAACGCCTTTATCTTTTCGTAGGCGTACAAGTGGAAGGCTAGAGATATAGATCTCGTTGATAGTGTTAAAAAGTCATGACTTTTCGACATCACAATCCGATAATACTTCATAGGTCACTGTCAGTTTCAGAGTGCTAACTGACCTCGACCGTAGTCTTTCCGAACTCCCCCACCCCCCGCCGGACTGTTGCACTCAGGCAGTCATCAGGGTTCCACAACAAGACATTTTATCAACGGAATATATATAAAAGAATTAGTTGCGTTCTCCGTGGAGCTGGTTGATTTAATTGAGAAGCATTCATTGTCCACTTTCTAGACAACATCTTTCTTCAGCGCAGGTTTTAGTATAAAATGAACTTATTCAAATTCTCCACGAATAATGTAATTGTATCTCCTGGCAACCATTGTCGTGACTGGTTGTTGATTCGCATGCATGTTAGCGATTTTCATCGACTTGGAATTGGAACATTCTTGTAAATTTGGTCTATAATAGTGTGAGTTTGTTAATCGCTGGTTGATTCACTTGAGTACCAACCAGGCTCCTAGAAATTCCCTGACTGCATTTTTGGTGTTTCCTCTACTTGAAATTTCGACATTATCCCAGTCATCAAATTGTTGTCCGTAATTATCTACATGCATTGATACGAAAGAATGTACATTGTGCCTTTTTAAAGCTGATTTGTGTTCTTCGATTCTGATTCAAAGGGGACGCTCACTTAGTTTCTGAAGGAAACTACGGTGAAATGTCACCACTCAGACTGTTTAAACTGCAAATTGCTGACCAATTTGCAAATTGTGAATTTAAGTTACGGTTTTGTTGCGAGTGCTACTTATAAGATTTATCAGTAGTATATAAAGAGGCGTTCATCGGCATAAAAACATCAAATAACAAGAAGGTAGATTTAATGTCAGAGGAAGAATATGATACAGCGTTGCGAAGATACATGGAAGATGTGAAAAGAACACAAAGAAACACAATATAAAGTCCAAAAGTACCACAACATGAAGATCTGTGCAAATGGTGCATTGAGATTTAAGTTTTCTATTAAACATTCCTTCAACAATTCTACCTTTCCATCATGACTGATTCGACTAAGTAACTCGCCCGAAAGCTGGTGGTTCGAAAAGTGATTCAGTGGCTCTCCGAGTCGAGTCAAACTGGATACATCTCTCACTGATAAGCTCGACCCCAAACGAGTGGCACCATCTTCCCCTGATGTTTAGGTCACCTCCATCTGTCTAGCCAGCAATCCCTGCTGATTAATATGAGTGGCATGTGACTACTTATCTCAATCAATAAATCAGTAGTATATAGTTTTACGCATAAACATAAAATTTTCCTCAAGAAAAATTCAGTACAGTTTTCATCGTCAATCTGTTGGATACATCATTACTCTAGGCATGTTAAAGCACCTTCTGGACATCTTGACTGGAGTTGATGACATGAATAGCAGTCACTAGACAGAGAATAGTCATTCTCACCCTGACAACATTTAACTGGAATCCAGTATGGCTGAGTCATATACTAGTAAGCAACACGGGAGAAGCACTTCTTTCTTGATGTGGTTGTGTTTTCTGAGCAGCTGGATGGTCGGTTTATTTGTGAAGCTTTCATTGCCCCACAACTAGGCAACATCTTCAGCGCATACTTCAATTTGATGAAGTCAGCTTTTAGATTTCTTAATGAGGCTATTAGTCACCCCGGCTGGTGACCTTGTACTTTGTGATTGGTTGTTTTTGTGTGTTTTCACACTCTCTAGACTACTTGTATTAGTTTTAGTGCTGATTGTTTCCTTGACTTTGTGTGTGACATTTTCTTCTTATCGATTGGTAATTGTTGTCTATGCATCTATTGATTGATGATTCACTGGAATACCAAGCTTCCGAAAATCCTGTAGCATTCTTGGTCCTTCCTCTGTCTAATATTTGAACGTTGTCCTAGTCGGATTGATGCCCATGGTTGTCTGTATGTAATGATATGAGTGAGGGAGTGGATGTCATGTCTTTTGACGGCTAGCTTATGTTCATGGATACTTTGGCCACTGTAGTGTTTTTCGCAATCGTTGTAATTTATATTTTGTAGATGATGTTGGTTTTATCTTCTTCCGATGTTGAGTCTTTTGACTGACACAGAACTGGCTGAGTGAAGTGATTTTGTTGGTTTGTGTACGACATCAATTCCTGAAGGTTTTGAAGAGTCTTGCAGTGATTTCCGAGATGTCTTTTATATATGGGGTAGGGCGATTTTCTTTGTGCTTTCCTTAGGGAGGGGTAGATGTCTTTTGATGAAGTTCCGCGGAGATATCCATTCTTTTGGAAGACGTCCATGAGATATCTTTCTTCAATCAATTTTTCTTAAGGTAGGTAGCTGGGAGTACTGCAATGATTCCTTTTACCCTCCTGAATAGTGTTTGTATACAACAGCCTTTTGTGTGTTATTTGATTATTGCTGTTGTGTGATTGAGTAATTGATCTGTGTGGGTTGATTTTCTATAAACCATCATATCTGAAGCACGCGCTAAAGCATTATAAATATAGTGATGAGTTCCATGAGACGACAGGGATCACACAAGGGTATATGACTGGTGTCATGATTAAAGTGAGCTATTAATTATCTCTTCCTGCGTCCACGTTAATCCATACTGTTTCAACTCCTCTTCACACGATCTCCTCCATGTCACCCTTGGACGTCCCACCCGCCGCTTTCCTTTCGGGTTTCACTCCAGCTATGGCCTGACGAGCGATGTCACCCAGCGGCCTCCTCAGCGAGTGTCCAATCCATCTCCACTTTCTCCTGCATATTTGTTGAGCGACTGGTTCTTGTTTTGCTTGTTCCCATAGTTTCTTGTTGGTGATTCTTTCCGGTCATCTGATCTTCAGTATAGAGCGAAGACAGTTGTTGATAAAGGTCTGCAACAGGCTGTTGGAAATATTCTTTGTGACCCGCCAAGTTTCTCATCCGTACGTATAGAAGAACTGACTGATTTGACGTTTGTATTGAAAATCCGAATTTTGTTGTTGATGCTGAGTGACGAATATTTCCAGATTGATTTCAGGTTGATGAATGTGTTTCTCGCCTTCCCGATTCTCGATTTGACATCCTCGTCCATTCCTCCTGTAGTTGAGACAATGCTCCCTAGATAAGTGAATGAAGTAACCTGCTTCAAATCCCTCCCGTTGATGTTGATTGGCACTGGATGTTGCTGCTGTTGTTGTTGTTGGTTGGTTATTTTCATAGCCTCCGTCTTGTCTATGTTCACCTGGAGTCCTGTCTTTGGTTCCCATTAGCCCTTTTCTCTCTTCCCATTAGTCCTTTTTTATTTAAATCTACGACAGAAATGGTTCAAGAGTTCAATAGAATTTAAATTTCGCTTTATCGATCTCTCATTTTTACTTCGTTTAAATGAATGTCTTAATTTTTAAATTGTTTATAGATCAACCAACAAAAAAATCAATCCATGGAAATTCAAAAATACCAATTAACACGGTAGATCATACTCTAAGTGAACTGAAAGTGGCAACTGGAGAAGGAGAATTCCAGAAGAATTTATCTTATAATACTAGTAGTGGAAATAATGTGACATTTTATCGATTGGATCCACTGGAGAACAGTGATACTTCCAATTGTAATTTATGGTGTAATCAAATAATATCCAGTGATCAAGGATATTTCACATCGACCCAGTTAGTAGATCATTATAACAAGCAAGAGAATAGTGGTGTTCATTCAAGTGTGAGGAATCAGATCTACTTAGGGGATTCTGTGTCTGTTACGCCACCGATGCCACCGATGCCACCACCCCTTCCTATGCCAGTAAATCCTCACAGTTCGATGCCAACATGGAATTCTTCGACTGAATTAGAAAGTTACCTACCAACGTCTATAGTAAACACAACAACGACAACAACACCGACTGATATGTATACCAACAACATTAACAGCAATAATAATGGGCCGGTAGGTTCCCCCAACTGGCCCTCATCACCATCTGTACTGTCCGCCTCTTCGTCATCATCCCTGTCGTCTTTCTGTGGTGCTCCCTCGTCATCTACATCGCTGCCTTTCTCGTCTTCATTGTATAATCAAACTGCACCAAACTCTTTCGATATGCATCCTGGTTATCATCAGATTTCATCGAATTCACCGAATTCCCTGAACTATAATCATCATTCTATACACGAGGTGAATTATATTCACTTATATTCTATAGGTACCGATCAAAGTACTATGAACTGTTGTGATAATGACGAATACACTCAGTCAACAGTTAATCCAGGATATACTACTGAATTTGATCCGATTACACACAGAAATTCAAACACATATGAAACAGGATCTGAATGGTGTCAGCAGTCTGTTTATTCTACACCTAGCCATGAAGTCCCACGGTCGGTGACTAACACTCACGAAACCCAACTAATGCCTGGCCCTAATCCATGTCAGATGGATTATGATATTTGGACGACAACAACAATTAATGAGCCAACAACAACACCTGTACATCAACCATCTACAGCTTACACTGTACACTATCCGATAAATGATCTATCAATGGAGATTTTCGATTCGAGCAGTAATCATTATCGTGAACACCAGGATCAGCCACAACAACATCCACAAGTTCAATACTTTAATACTTATGAAATTTTTGATAACAGTCAACATCAATTGATCGCTAATGAACAATTCACTGATAAATCTACTGATTATATTGATTTTGTTTTAAATTCAAGTATGAATCAATCAACTCCAGTAGGAAATTGTTGTTTAAATCAATCAAATTATCAAATTCAACCGAAAATGATTGGTCACTTTGGTGATGGTGATGATGACGGTGGTGATGACCTTGACGCTGAACAAACCAATGAAAAAAGGAATTTATCAATACATTCAGCCAATAATAATAATTGGTCAAATCAATGTTTATCGCATCCATCCTTGCTATCAGAAATCGATAGGAATGAAGAGAATCTTGTAGAAAGGAGAGAGGAGAATGAAAAGCCTTCAGAGATTATGATGCATCCTAATAATAGCCACAGTATTACTAGCAGTAGTAATAGTAGTATTGGGAGTATGAACTCTCAAAGTTATGAATTTAACGAGCTAGGAAGTCATCTCTATCCTCAGAATATCTACCAACCAATGAGTGTAACACAGTTTAGCTTAAAGAACACCTCATTATCCAGTAGTAATAACAACAATAGTAGTACTCATACAAATCAACCGGTGACTATTGATTATTGGATATCGTCAGAATGATAAAAGTCAACCATCTCTATCATCTGAATACTGTTTCATTCGGATACCTTATTTTCTCTTCTTTTGCATATATCAACATATACAAATAATATTTTCATTTTTGTTTTCCTTAATTTTTTTGTTTGTTTGTAATTTTAATGACCGGTGCACCCCAGCCCTCTTCTTTTTACTGCCTTTATTATTTCCTTCCCCCCACACACTAACCTGTTCAGCAAACACCATTCTACACTGTGATTTATGATTTATGCAAAATTGAAATTCAAAACATCCCGGTTCTTATTTGAAAGAAGCAAAAAAAAATAATGATCTGTTCCAAAGGTTATTGATTTGGTTTTTTTCATACTCAAATATAAATGCAAATATATATTTATAATGGAACTTGTTATATATATACTATTGGATCGTAGGCTTCGATGATAACTTAAGAGTAACATGGGCATTCTTTTAAGTTGATTCATGGTGGTTAGCAGTGGAATTCAACTTGTGTGTTTCATCCTACTCGGGACTTGTCAGCGGGATGTGTACCCGCGATCCTCAGTGAATGAGATATGATGTTCCCATTGTGAGTCGAACCCAACGCCTTTGTTTTCAGACTCCAATTTTCCCTTTAGACTTATGAATGTCCTAACGGATAACGTTATGTCGTTTTGGAACGTTATATACCGTGTATAAGTATCCATAGGAACACCAGTTACCAGCCATATCCAGCTGGCGAGTCTCAAATGCAACCAACCGAAATTCGCATCCTGGCTTCCATCGTTAGTCACTATCAACTTGTACTTGTTTTTTCATTCTTTTGTGTTCTGAGTAAAATGTAGGGATTCAGGCTTTGCCTTTGACGTTTCAGTAGCACTGGTATTTCCCTTTCTCGGACTGGTTTCACCAACCTCACATCCAATTTTCCCTCATAACCAGGTTTTCTACCGGTTCAGTGTCAAGTTTAGGAGTGCATCGACTGGGAATCGAATCTACCTGACTTACTTGCATTCCACCAGCCAACCACTGACATATTTCTATGCTTATGTGTAACTGACCCATAATAATATTGAATGCATTGATCGTAACCATAGCAACTCACATGTTTTATTTACATTATAAAAACAAAAATGAAAAATGCGTTTCTTATGGATTGATTGTGTTGAGCAGAAATGAACGGTCCCTTTTGAAATGTTGGACTTTTCGACAGTGTCTAAATAATAATGTGATATTATTTTGGTTGATGGTGATTCGCATTTCATCCTATTCGGGATTCGTCAGCCGGACACACCAGCATCCCCAATGAATGAGGAATAATGTTCCCACTGCGATTCTTACTCTGCACCTATTGCTTCAAATGCTAAAGCGTTATCCTCACTGAGGATTGCAGCTGAATTCAACTGATGGGTCCAAAACAGGAAGAAATGTGTCTACTGGATTTCACTGCCAGACTCACCATCAACACGAATAATGTGTCATATACTAGGATATTTAATTCCATTTGATAGTATCAGTGTAGCGTTGGGATTGGTGGTACACAGTAGACAGAATAAAATTAGAGAAATTCGTGTGAAGAGTGATTATATCTAAGAGGCTGAAAACAATTTTGAACCATACCATTAAGAGTCTTCAGCTAGTGATTCTTAACGTTCAGAGAACACCATGAAAGTGACCTATACAAAATCACTTGACGTACACTGTAGTCATCAAGAGGTTTCATCATGAATCAGTACGAATTAGAGAATCACTGCAAACAAAGGAGTACTAGACAGCCAGTTGTTTCGTTTTAGTTTGGGACTCTTCAACAGCGAGGTTACGAAACCGAACCCGTCGAGTATTCAGCCACCTTAGCCCAAATTCGAAGACCTGTGGATTCCAACTTATCACCTCATCCGTCACATAACGCTACCACTAACCTATGCCTATTGATGAGTGTCTACTTCCCATTTTGACATTATGGACCCCAGTGGCGACGATTTCCCATGACAGCTTCAGGTCATCCATCCAGTAGGCGTCAATAAACTGCAGACAGACTAATTAGATTATAGGTTCTGTAGGGATTTGGATCAAAATCCAAGTTTCCATCACTGATAGGATCTGGGTGGGCATTACTAAAGAGTCCCGAACTAGGACGAAACAGATAACTGTCCAGTGCTACCTAGCTCTCAATAATCTCTCCAAGTGACGTTGGTTTATGATGAAATCTACACTGGAATTAATCTCAACCCCTAAAGAGCCAATAGTCCAAGTGGTCAACAGCTTTTTGGGATGATTTGGTGGATGTTGACTAATAGTGGAATCCAGGATGCGCATTTCGTCCCATTAAGAGACTCGTCATCTAGGTGTATCTGCATTCCCAGTAAGTGGTGATATTTCCATTGAGACTCTTCCACTAGACAACTTGAGTCAGAAGATCCAGTTCTTGTGCAGCGGGCATCAGTTATTACTTGATTTTCCCGTTAATTGATTAAACTGGAACGTTTGACCCCTGTTGATATGTCGCCCCCTAGTACGGATGGTTCAGCGATGTCTTTCTGAGGATTAATTTGAAGTCACTGAAGTAATTCCACTGGTAGTCACCATCCAGCAAATAAAAAATCATGTTAATCCTCAGATGTATCGTCAAAGAGTCGTGATAGTGTGACGTACGCTATTGATAAGATTTATCAGTAGTATATGAAGAGACATTTATCCTCCGAAAATATCAAATAGTAGAGAGATTGATTTTACATCGGAGAGGCGAAATAAACAACTAGTGTTGCGGCGGCAAAACATGGGAGACACACGAAACGAAGAAAAAGAAACACAATATGCGAAGAAAGGGCACGGTAGATCCGTGCAGATGACAATTTTCATATAAGGCGTATATATGTGCATTTATTTTTTTATTCCTTCACGTTCCCAGTGGAACATAGGGCAGCCTTCAAGCTAGAGGCTTGCAGTTTCTGTAGCAGTGGTGATTATTTTTACGGGATGGATGGAGTCACTAGCCTCAAGTCCAACCTTTCCTCTTTACCAGTCTTATTTCTGACTTAGAGAGGTAAAGGGCGTCGATGGCCGGGGATTAAAACCCTGGACCATGTGCATGATCGGCGAGCGTCCAAACCGCTGTGTCATCGACGCACATATGTATATATAGAATTCTAAATAGGCGATTCCGTTGTCAACTCTCTTGTCTCTTGTCCATTACACTGGAAGCCAACATGTCAACACAGGTCAGACATTAACCGTCCAGAAATTCCCTGATACTGTATTCATAGTGCATATTCTGACCACAGCAATGAGCAGGGCTAAAAGAAGACCTCATTGCTCAGTTTGCCTTTTATACTTGTCACGGAAAAGTAAAAGAATAACGACCGATCATGATTGATCTTGAGGTGACCTGTCCGAGTTTGTGAAGGTAGTGGTGCAGTTTTAAAGCATAAATCGAGAGAGAGCTGCTCAGAATTAAGGAGAAAACAATAAACCAAGCCCTAACGATTAATTCTTAACCTTAATTAATTCTACATATGTCCAAACCAAGTTCACTTTTAACAATTTGAAAAAAATTTGGACATTGGGTATATGATATCCATTATAAAAAAGGTTTTCTTGTATTTTCTAATGAATGAAAAACAAAACGATATTACTGTGTTTTACTGACGTTTCGCTGTTTAATGCTGCTCCTGATAGCTTTATCAAAGTAGTATTGTTAAACCAGGATTTAAAAAATCCACTCACCTTATATATAACAACTTAATCATCGTTCCTCAACATGGGGTCAGTTTTACACTGTCAAGTTGGCCAATCGGTAAAGATAAAAAGAATCAGGTGTAGATTGTTGAATTTGATAAGCGTATAAAATGATAAAAACAGCATAAGTTTACATAACGAAATTCCTTATCACATTCGTGTTGATTTTGTTACTTCAAACAGAGGTGGGAGTGTTGCAACCAGGTCTAACTCTGTCTGAATTCGTCGTTCCTATTCTGACAATTTGGATTCCACTTGACATGAAGTGCTTCTGATGATATTAGACGTTCTTTGTGATTTCGGAAACTTTTTTGCACTATTTCAATATTGTCAAAATCAATTTTGTGACCTGATTCTATAGCTTGTAGACCTATAGTTGATGATTTTTCAAGTTTTTCTAGTTCAACCGGATTTCTCGGTGGTCGAATAGAGGCGGCTCTACGGTGTTCATTTCTTCTGATTTTGATTTCTCGAGATGTTTGTCCGATTTTATAGACACAGTTAGATAGAGAATCTTTAGGGATTTCATGTTTTACGTGGACAAGATTGCTTTGTAGTGTCAGAGTCTGATGTTTTGAAGAAAAGTCTGATGACCAGCTTATTGAGTACTCTTCTGATTTCGTCTGATGTCTCTGCTCTATATGGAATGACAACTGTTGAGGTCCATGTCTTCGGAATACGTTTTCGACCATACTTAACGTGAGTGTTGATTTTGTTGATGAAGTTCTTTGGGTAGCTATTCTGCTTGAGAGTTTCAGTAATGTTTGATATTTCCTCTTCTTTTTCTTTCTCATCCGTTAACATCAAAGAGTGTGCTCGTCTAAGAAGACTTGAAACAACTGATGCCTTTGCGCTGACTGGGTGTGATGATCCGAATTCTAAATATTTATTGGTATAGGTTTCCTTCCTGAATATGGATATACTAAAATGTCCGTTTTCCCCTCCTCTTAGCTAGGCGGTCTAGAAATGGTAGTTCACCGACGTCTGATTTTGCTTCCGAAGTAAACTGGATTCTAAGAGATAGATCGTTCAGTTTCGCCAAGAATGAACTGTATAGGTCTCGTTTTAGCACTAAAAAATATCATCTACGTATCTTGACCATATTTTAGAAGTGAGTATGCTTGGAAAGATGTTATCTTCGAATCTATTGATGAAAAGGTCAGCGACTATTGGGAAGACGGGTGAACCCTTAGCAACACCATTTGTCTGTCTATATAAATTCTCTTTAAACGTAAAATAATTACTTTCTAGACAGAATTTCAAGCTCTCAATTATTTCATTGGTGTCCAGTG